GAATAGCTCTTCTCATCCCCATGTACACAACAGATAGGTATGGTGTCTTCTGTGCTGATTATGTTGGGGGGTACAAAATTCCTGTGCACAAGAGTCTGATCACTTCCAGAATCAAGTAGGGCCTTAATCATTTTCCCATTAACTTCAATGTGTGTCATTTTAATAGACTGGACCTTGTTGAGCTCAGGTTCATACTGAGTTCGTGGTACAAAGCACATCTGTGTCATGTTAACTGAGTTTTTAGGGCACATAGGTTTTGTATGGCCTTCAACCCCACAAAGATAACAGATTGGCTTCCTCCCTAAGGGTTTTAATGGTCTGCTGGCTGGCTGGCTCTCCCTCATGGGAAACTTACCCACCCCAGTGCCTGGATGGTGGGTTGGTTTTCGATTGTCCTCTGCAGTTCTCCATGAGTGGTAGCTCCATGGTTGTCCCTTCTTTCGGGCAGCCACAAAGACGTCAGCCAGTCTAGCAGCCTCCATGGCTGAATCTGGGCCATGCTCTCGGACCCAGACCTGAAGCTCAGGAGACAACATTCTCAGATACTGCTCTAATATTATCACTTCACCAATTTCTTGGATGGTTTTACCTTTAGGCTGGATCCATTTTCCATAAGACTCCTTGAGCCTTGCATACAACTCCTTGGGGCTCTCATCAGGGTCCACCTCTAGGGAGCGGAATCTCTGCCTGTAGGTCTCAGGGTTAATGTCATATTTGGCAAGAATGGCTGATTTTACCTGTTCATAGTCAAGGGAGTCATCAATGTCCATATGCACATAGGCACCTCTAGCTTTGCCGGTTAGTAATGGAATTAACTGAAAAACCCAGTCTGCTTTTTGCCACCTGCATGCTACAGCTATACGTTCGAATGTAATGAGAAAATGTTCAATATCATCATTATCAGTTAATTTTTCCAACCTGGGCTTATGTTGTGAGCAAGACTGACCTGCAGAGGCCACTGTTTGAGCGATCATGGGCTCAGCTTGGTCTGACAGAAGGTGTAGGGTGGATGATTGAACCTCCATATCTGGAGGATCAGAGTCTGCTGAAAGAGGAGGTGGCACCAAAGATGTCCGGGCCTGAACTTCTAACTGCAACAGCTGAAACTGGTGTTGAAGAGCTTTAAAACGGTGTTCTTGTCTTGCAGTCACCTCATTCTGCTTTGCTTCTCGAGCCTCCTGCTGCCCCATGTGCTTCTGGAAAATGGCCATCATGTCAGACAGAGTTGGCTCCTTACCCTCCATGTCATTGCCCCCTCCTGAGGCCCCACTTTCTTCCTCTTCACAGGCTTTCTCCTCCTGAGCCACTGTTTGGCTTGTAGACACACCTGGTGTCGTTCCACCTCTTCCTCTTGTCATCTTTCTTTGGTGTTGGGAGCAGCAACTGGAGAAAAAAAAAATTCCAAAACTGCAAAAAGAGAGAAAAAAATACAAATAAATCCTGTTTCCTCAACTGGATGATCCCACCACTGCCACCAATTGTCAGGGACCAAACAGTCAAGCAATGAGGAAAACCAGGAGTTTGTTGAAAAATAGGGGTTTTTTATTTACCCAAAAATACCAAACAATAGAAACCAAGAATTTAACATCTTAGGCCTATAAAAGAGGTCAACAAAATATAACTATACTCAAAACAGCATACAACAGACAGAATATTAACTAAACAAACTGACCTGCCTGAATGAGACACAAAGGAACATATATAGTGGCTTGGCCAAACCAATTTACCCACAAGGTGAAAACAAAATGGATGCCAACTACAACTACTACAAGTAAAACAAACTAAACCCAAAATCCCCCTCCAACATGGCAGCACATGGTACGGCTTGATTGGTAGGCCACAGGATATACCCATCCTCCACCCTTGGCCACGCCTTTCCTCCACCAGGACAGACCTCATTGCTGGCTGTTACCCTGTGTGGCTTGGGCCATCACAACAACAATCAACACAACAATCAATACAACAATCAACACAACAATCAACACAACAATCAATACAACAATCAACACAACAATCAATACAACAATCAATACAACAATCAACACAACAATCAATACAATGTAAAGGTTGGTTTCTGAGCTGGTTGCTAAACAGGCTAATGTAGCTAACAATAACACTAGCCTGCTACTGGAGGCCCTGGTGGCCCCTGGTGGCCCCTGGAGGCTCCTGGAGGCCCCTGGTGGCCCCTGGAGGCCCCTGGAGGCCCTGGTGGCCCCTGGTGGCCCCTGGTGGCCCCTGGAGGCCCCTGGTGGCTCGAGACAAACGCCACAGCCCTTGTTGACATTGAAATAGGAGGAAATATTATTGAACTGTGAGACTTGCAATAACAGAATTAGTTGAAATGTTTGTGTAGAAAAACATAATTATTATTTCACATTGAGCTCGTTTAGATGATCCACAATCAATAACACAGCTGCTGCACTGGTGGCGTCCATGTTCTCTCTGACAACTGGATCTCTATAAGTGGTACGAGCCGGGTAATTACGTCACGTTCTCGCAGCAGAACAACTCGGGCGGAGGATTTACGAGACAAATGGATCGCAGCATCAGTTAGACAACAAACACTTCCTGTTTCCTAACAGACCGCCATCGTCAGCTATAATGTTTATTTGTTGTTGTTGTTGTTGTTGTTGTTGTTGCATTAATAATCCGTTACATGGACAATCTCTCAGCAGCCGATTGGCTGATTCAGACAATATGGGAGGGGCTACTGAGGACACTGAACAACAGACAGGAAGTCCAAACACTAATTAGCTATTAGCAGCGCCCGTTAGCAGCGCCCGTTAGCCGCGCCCGTTAGCACGCCCGTTAGCAGCGCCCGTTAGCAGCGCCCGTTAGCCACGCCCGTTAGCAGCGCCCGTTAGCAGCGCCCGTTAGCCGCGCCCGTTAGCAGTGAATACGGATGTATCAGTGTGTGCAACATATTTATATATTTAGTTGGTTGACGTTAGCTTGCTTGCTAACACAGACAAATTGCTACCAAATAATGTACAAAAACAGTGTCTGTCTGTGGACTGATTGCTATGTGTTTCTATAATTATCAGATTATTGATCAGTGTATTGATCAGTGTATTGATCAGTGTTTGAACAGGTTGTAGTGGAGCTTTGTCCCTCTGCTGTAGTGGAGCTTTGTCTCTATGCTGTCTCTGGACTGTGTCTCTATGTGTCTCTATGTAGGATGAGGGTCAAAGGTTGTGACCTTTATGCTCCCTACAGTGCCAACAGTGGGCAACACAGAGTCCAACACAGAGTCCACAACACAGAGTCCAACACAGAGTCCACAACACAGAGTCCACAACACAGAGTCCACAACACAGAGTCCAACACAGAGTCCACAACACAGAGTCCAACACAGAGTCCACAACACAGAGTCCACAACACAGAGTCCACAACACAGAGTCCAACAACACAGAGTCCAACACAGAGTCCAACACACAGAGTCCACAACACAGAGTCCAACACAGAGTCCACCACAGAGTCCACACAAGCACAACACAGAGTCCACAACACAGAGTCCAACAACACAGAGTCCAACACAGAGTCCAACACACAGAGTCCACAACACAGAGTCCAACACAGAGCACAGAGTCACACAGAGTCCACAACACAGAGTTCAACACAGAGTCAACAACAGAGTCCAACACAGAGTCCACAACACAGAGTCTACAACACAGAGTCCAACACAGAGTCACAACACAGAGTCCAACAAGACAACACAGAGTCCAACACAGAGTCCACCACACAGAGTCCACAACACAGAGCTCCACCACACAGAGTCCAACACAGAGTCAACAACACAGAGTCCAACACAGAGTCCAACACAGAGTCCACAACACAGAGTCCAACACAGAGTCCACAACACAGAGTCCACAACACAGAGTCCAACACAGAGTCCAACACAGAGTCCACAACACAGAGTCTAACACAGAGTCAACACAACACAGAGTCAACACAGAGTCCAACACAGAGTTAACACAGAGTCCAACACAGAGCAGCAACACAGAGTCACACAGAGTCACAGAGTCCAACACAGAGTCACACAAGCAACACAGAGTCCACAACACAGAGTCCAACACAGAGTCCACAACACAGAGTCCACAACACAGAGTCTAAAACAGAGTCCAACACAGAGTCCACACACAGAGTCCAACACAGAGTCCACAACACAGAGTCCAACACAGAGTCCAACACAGAGTCCAACACAGAGTCCAACACAGAGTCCAAAACACAGAGTCTACAACACAGAGTCACAACACAGAGTCCAACACAGAGTCCAACACAGAGTCCACAACACAGAGTCCAACACAGAGTCCACAACACAGAGTCCACAACACAGAGTCCAACACAGAGTCCACAACAGAGTCCAACACAGAGTCCACAACACAGAGTCCAACACAGAGTCCAACACAGAGTCCACAACACAGAGTCCACAACACAGAGTCCAACACAGAGTCCACCACAGAGTCCACCACACAGAGTCCACAACACAGAGTCCACCACACAGAGTCCAACACAGAGTCCACCACACAGAGTCCAACACAGAGTCAACAACACAGAGTCCAACACAGAGTCCAAAGTCAAAGCTAACATTAATGCTAAGCTAGTGGAACATATTGTCTGAGCCTTCAGACTGACTGCCGTTCACTCAGTGGCCACTGGTGGCGCTGTTAGCTACAGTTTAATGAGTTACATACAGGAGCTGATCAAAGAATACTGAAAGATCAACTGAGCTTCCTGTGATGAACTCTTCCAGCAGCAGGGTGAGATTAAACCGTGCAGTGTGAATGCAGCAGTTAGCAGCTGATCCTGGAGCAGCTCTGATTTATGTCCCTGACACCTGGTCCAGACTTTGATCAGGACGATGACAGCTCGAGACGCTCTGCTGAAGACGCCGCTGAGCGAGCCGTCGCCTCCGTCTCACCTTTCAGGAGCCGCCATGTGTTTATCTACCGCTGAGAAACGGCCTCCAGCTCTGAGCCCGACTCTCTCTGCTGTTTCAGGTCCTCGCCGCCGCCAACATGTCTTCAGTCAGAGCCGCAGCCGTCCTGCTGCTGAGCTGCTGCGTCCTCGTCGTCCCGCCCTGCAGAGGTCAAGGTAAGGTCACCTGCTCACTCTGCAGCAACCAAACCTCAGCAGTCTGAACCTCGACTTAATTTATTATTTATTTATTTATTTATCTGTTTTAAACCTGTAAAACTTCTATATTTAGTTGGCTGACGTTAGCTTGCTAACTGGCAACAGACAAATTGCTAGCTAGCTAACGTAGCACAGACTTCTGGGGCTGCAGCTAGCTGGCTAACCTTAGCTAGCTCTCTCGCTAACGTTGTACCTGCCCTACTATAGATTATAATATATTAATATATTGATTATAAAGTATTGATTACTTGTTTCTGTGAGAGGTTAGACACAGTAACACACACACACAGACACACACAGACACACACACAGACACACAGTAACACACACACACACACACACACACACAGTAAAACACACACACACACACACGCACACACGCACACACAGTAACACACACACACACACACACAGTAACACACACAGTAACACACACACAAAGTAACACACACACACACACACACACACACACACACACACACACACACACACACACACACACAGTAACACACACACAGACACACACACACACACACACAGTAACACACACATAACACACACACACACACACACACAGTAACACACACACACACACACACACACACACACAGTAACACACACACACACACACACACACAGTAACACACACACACACACACACAGCAACACACACACACAGTAACACACACACACACACACACACACACACACACACAGTAACACACACACACACACACACACACACACAGTAACACACACACACACACACACACACACAGTAACACACACACACACACACACACACACACCCAGTAACACACACACACACAGTAACACACACACACACAGTAACACACACACACAGTAACACACACACAGTAACACACACACACACACACACACACACACACACACACACAGTAACACACACACACACACACAGTAACACACACATTCTCAATTATCGGAATGTTCCATAAACCGATCAACTGAATTGATTATGACTGTATTGATCTGTTGACTGAAGCGTCGCCGCTCTTCTGAAAGGTCAAAGGTCAACGCCAGGGTCTTGCCACAAGATTGTCCAGAGTACTGTCTGTTCTCTGAAGCTAATCAGCGAGCCATTGATCTATTGATTGATTGGTCTGTACTTTATTGTAAATCAGTAAACCTTCGTCCATCCTCACTGAGCGCGCTCAGTGGCGCTCTGCAGTGTATTGTTCTCCCACAGCTGTCAGTTTACCCTCCGCTCGCTGTTGTCTGGCTCTTCTCGTGTAACACTTAACACCTCCCAGCTGTTGTTCCAGTCATGTGAGACGCGTTCCCGGCAGCCCCAGCATGGAGCTCCGTCCTGGAGCTGCCGGAGCTCCGAGGACGAGCCTGTTGTCTCTTCCTTTGAAAACAATCCTCCCGAATTCCAGCCGACACTCGATCCACCGCCGTTAACCTGCACTCAGAGCCGAGAGGTCAGAGGTCACGGCTGTCGGAGAGCAATCAGCTGAACATCATCAACAAACTAATGAATGTCTGCAGACAGGACGTGCTGCGTTCACTGACACTGACCTGGTGCATTCAAGTGCTGCTGGGAAAGCCCAGTGTTACCACGCGATGAGTTCATGGCCCAGAGTTGCTGAAGGAAAATAAAGCAGACGGACATTTATATTTTATAAAATAGCAGATTTTCTCGGGAACCACAGTGGGCATGTTAGGGCCCCTGGCTTTTAGGGGGCCACTGACTGTTTGGGCCCCTGGCTGTTCGGGGCCTCAGATCCGGCACTGTGTCTGTTTCTATTGGACGTCCTGCAGCTGTCTGTCTGTAACAGCCGACACGTGGCTCAGCGGCCGTCAGAGGTCAGAGGTCAAACTGTCTGCTGCTAATGTCTCAGCAGAGACTGCAGCACTGAAATACACCCTGACAGCTGATCCTCATTATTACTGATCCTATTGATCAGAATACACTGTACGCTATTAGTTCAATTGCTTTAATAAGGGTAGTCAGTATTGATTACTGATCAGGATCGTGATCAGATAATTGGACCCTTTGTGTGCGTTTGTCTTTCACTCAATGAAGGATTCATATTTTTATATATAATCGATCAATAAACTGAGCTTTATAGTGAAGAAGCAGCTTTATTGATCATGACTGAGGCGGGAATTGTGAACCCAATCAACTGGATCAGTTTCTGTTCTTAGAAACAGGAGATTCTGGTTTTTGCTCTTATTTTGTTAGGAAAGCAACTTCCTGTCTGACCTTTCTTCTTCTCCTCTACAGGAAGTGACTGCAGCTGTAACATCACTAACAGCCGTTGTGACGAGTCTGGAGTCTGCAGGTGAGATCGATCAATGATGATCAATAATGATCAATAATAATCAATAAGTTGAGCCGTTACTGCCGTCAGGTGTTGACGTGTTCTGTGTTTCCAGGTGCGACCCGGGTTGGGATGGCAAGCGTTGTGAGCACTGTGTGCCGATGCCCGGCTGCCTGCACGGTTCCTGTCAGCAGCCGTGGCAGTGCAGCTGCGAGCCGGGCTGGGGGGGGCGCTTCTGTGACAAAGGTCAGTGACACGAGAAGTATCCGGATACTTTACTGAGAAAAAGTACGACTGCGTTTAAAGTATCAAAAGTATGAAAAATGTCCGAATGTTGAATTAAAAGATACAAATGATTTTATTATTCTTATAAAACCTGATCGATTCTACCTGGGATCAATAAGCATGCTCACTTCCTGTCTGCTGTCTCAGACCTGGCGGCGTGCTCGGAGCAGCAGCCCTGTCACAGCGGCGCTACCTGTGTGATGGAGGACAGCGGTGAATACACCTGTCTGTGTCCTCCAGGTTTCCACGGCAGGAACTGTCAGCTGAAGACGGGACCCTGCCACCAGCGGAGGTCTGACTCCGCCTCTAAAACAACTTCCTGTCGCTTTAAATTGATTACAAACATCACAATAAATTCTTCTTTGTGTGTTTCCTGTTTGTCTCCAGGTCTCCGTGTAAAAATGGCGGCCTGTGCGAGGACGCCGACGGCTTTGCGGCAGAGTTGACGTGCCGCTGCCTGGCGGGTTTCACGGGACGGCGCTGTGAGACCAACGTGGACGACTGCCGGATGAGACCGTGTGCCAACGGCGCCACCTGCCTGGACGGCGTCAACCGCTTCTCGTGCGTCTGCCCCACCGGCTTCACCGGACGCTTCTGCACGGTCAACCTGGACGACTGCGTCAGCCGGCCCTGCCTCAACGCCGGCCGCTGCGTGGACCGCGCCAGAGGCTTTCACTGCGTGTGCCCGCCCGACTACACCGGCACCACCTGTGAGACGCCGCTGAGGAGCCGCGACGAGCGTGGCTGGACGACGCTGGGGTGGGAGGGGGGTGGAGGAGGCAGGGTCATACCTCCCCTGACCACCGGGGGTAAGGAGGACCAGAGGACGACCGGTAACAGCAGTCGTCATGGCGACAGGCTGTTTAAGGTGACGGTGAGCGAGCGTGCCGCCATCGGCCTGTCGGAGGTCCAGCTCATCGTGGTGCTGGTGCTGGCGGGAGTGACGCTGGGTGTGGTGGTGCTGACCGCCGCCCTCGTACTGCAGGGTCGCTGCAGAGACTGTGGCCACGCCCCCTGCTGGCCGCTGACAACATCGCCACAGCGGCAAGGACAGAAGAGCAGCCGGCGAGGGCGGCGGGACGAGCATGAGTGTCAGATCAGCTTCCTGAATGTGGAACCAGAGAAGAAGAAACTTAACACTGAGGTCATATAGAGCGAGCGGGCGTCCGAGCACACAAACAAACAGAGAGAGACAGCTCTGACCCAGCACTGCAGGGTCAGAGGTCAGAAGTCAGCAGTGTGACCTCAGGTTCAGGTCTGAAGTCGGATCCAGTCCAACAGGATGTGGTCTGACATCATCACAGCATGTACAGATTGATCATTACCCACAATGCACCTCTCCCTCTGACAGTGAGCCAAACATCTCAGTCCTTTATTCCCTGCAGTCAGACTGTCCTCCGTCAGCATCAGATGCTGCATTCAGTCCCGGTCAGGACCTGCTGTTCCCTGGGAGCTCCCAGTCCGACAGAGTCCGCTAATGGATCCACTACAGCTGCTGGACTGGGGGGGGGCGTAGCACACTGCGCCAGTGGCTACTGCGTCTCTGTCTGTTCTTACAGGAAATATGAGGAAGCTAACAGCTCTCTGATTCTGGTTCACCTGGACTTTAAAAGCAAATAACAGAAACTTTTGTGTTATTGTGAACTGAATATGCAAAAAAGTGAAGTTATTTGTGAAGAATGACCCTTGACCTTCTTCTTTCCTTCAGTCAGAGCAGTTGTGAACCTCACATCACAGCTCACAGCGAGTTCTCTCACAGACGCCAGAATCCATTCTCAAAAACCAGAGAATACAAATTATTATATGTCTGTATTATTATAGTACTGTATTATATTATAGTACTGTATTATACTATAGTACAGTATTATATTATAGTACAGTCTGTATTATACTATAGTACAGTATTATATTATAGTACAGACTGTATTATATTATAGTACTGTATTATACTATAGTACAGTATTATATTATAGTACTGTATTATACTATAGTACAGTATTATATTATAGTACAGACTGTATTATACTATAGTACAGTCTGTATTATACTATAGTACAGTATTATATTATAGTACTGTATTATATTATAGTACAGACTGTATTATATTACAGTACAGTCTGTATTATATTATATTATAGTACAGACTGTATTATATTATATTATAGTACAGACTGTATTATATTATAGTACAGTATGATATTATAGTACAGTGTCTGTATTATATTATAGTACTGTATTATATTATAGTACAGTATGATATTATAGTCCAGTGTCTGTGTTATATTATAGTACAGACTGTATTATATTACAGTACAGTCTGTATTATATTATATTATAGTACAGACTGTATTATATTATAGTAAGCATTATATTATAGTACATGTTGTATTATATTACAGTACAGTCTGTTTTTTATAAATTATATTATAGTACAGTGTCTGTATTATATTACAGTACAGTCTGTATTATATTATAGTACAGACTGTATTATATTAGAGTACTGTATTATACTATAGTATAGTATTATATTATAGTACAGTCTGTGTTATACTATGGTACAGTGTGTATTATACTATGGTACAGTGTGTATTATATTATAGTATAGTGTTTGTATTATTGAATAATAATGTGTATATATGCTGTAAATGGTCCCCGGGCCCTCAAGGTTTCGCTGCTACTCACCGAAAATAAAAGAAATATAAATTAAAACTGAGATATTTTAGCAAATGTAATGTAATTTGTATTTTGTTGTTGTTCCGCAGTGTGCAGACGGGATGTATAAATGTGATCAGAGCAGTTTTATATGTTGCTCCTCACTTTAATGAGGTGATCAAACAGATTTAAAATCTAATTTATTGGTGTAATTTATCAGTGTGACGTTCCGGGCTTTTATAACAATGTGTGCAATAAAGTTGTAAATGATGAAATCTGTCAGCAGCTGTATTTATATACAGAGAGAAAATACATCCATCATTCATCTGTTTCTTTACCTTTTACACATTAACATTAAAGCTGATTATCATATGTTATCTGTAAAGTTAACTGTTTTTATCTTAAAAAAAACAAGTTCTAATCAAATCAAATAAAAAATATAGACTTAAAGAAGATTCTGAATCATTTTATGTCTCTATAATAGTCAGTGTGTGTGAGCAGAGAGTGAACAGAACTTTGTTCCTCTGCTGTCTGTGGACTGATCTCTATGTGTCTCTATGTAGGATGAGGGTCAAAGGTTGTGACCTTTATGCTCCCGAGTGCCAACAGTGGACAACACAGAGTCCAACACAGAGTCCACAACACAGAGTCCCACACAATCAACACAGAGTCCAACACAGAGTCCACAACACAGAGTCCACAACACAGAATCCAACACAGAGTCCACAACACAGAGTCCACAACACAGAGTCCACAACACAGAATCCACAACAAGCAATAAGGTTAGAAAGCAAGCAAGCTAACGTTATCCAGCTAACAGCACAATCAGACAATATGTTCCACTAGCTTAGCATTAATGTTAGCTTTGAAGTTGGACTCTGTGTTGGACTCTGTGTTGTGGACTCTGTGTTGTGGACTCTGTGTTGGACTCTGTGACTCTGTGTTGGACTCTGTGTTGTGGACTCTGTGTTGTGGACTCTGTGTTGGACTCTGTGTTATGGACTCTGTGTTGGACTCTGTGTTGTGGACTCTGTGTTGGACTCTGTGTTGGACTCTGTGTTGTGGACTCTGTGTTGGACTCTGTGTTGGACTCTGTGTCTTGTGGCCTCTGTATTGTGGACTCTGTGTTGGACTCTGTGTTGTGGACTCTGTGTTGGACTCTGTGTTGGACTCTGTGTTGTGGACTCTGTATTGATGGACTCTGTGTTGGGCTCTGTGTTGTGGACTCTGTGTTGTGGACTCTGTGTTGGACTCTGTGTTGTGGACTCTGTGTTGGACTCTGTGTTGGACTCTGTATTGTGGACTCTGTATTGGACTCTGTGTTGGACTCTGTGTTGTGGACTCTGTGTTGGACTCTGTGTTGGACTCTGTGTTGTGGACTCTGTGTTGTGGACTCTGTATTGTGGACTCTGTGTTGGACTCTGTGTGACTTTGTGGACTCTGTGTTGGACTCTGTGGACTCTGTGTTGGACTCTGTGTTGTGGACTCTGTGTTGGATTGTGACTCTGTGTTGGACTCTGTGTTGTGGACTCTGTGTTGGACTCTGTGTTGGACTCTGTGTTGTGGACTCTGTGTTGGACTCTGTGTTGTGGACTCTGTGTTGGACTCTGTGTTGGACTCTGTGTTGTGGACTCTGTGTTGGACTCTGTGTTGTGGACTCTGTGTTGGACTCTGTGTTGTGGACTCTGTGTTGTGGACTCTGTGTTGGACTCTGTGTTGTGGACTCTGTGTTGGACTCTGTGTTGTGGACTCTGTGTTGGACTCTGTGTTGGACTCTGTGTTGTGGACTCTGTGTTGGACTCTGTGTTGGACTCTGTGTTGGACTCTGTGTTGTGGTGGGTGTCGGTCATTTGTAGACGTTAGCGGACTCCATTTATAAGCTAACGTTAGCTAGTGTTGCCCACTGTTGGCACTGTAGAAATCCGTCCACAGGCAGCAGAGGAAGTTGGGGAAGGTATACAGGAAATGCTTCACAATCTGACACATGGAACTTTTAGCATGAATTAACTCGGACTTATGGAAGTTAAATTAAAAACTATGACTCTGTTATTTCTCCTCTGTCATCATTCATTTCCTCTGGGTCGACAGTCATTAAACTGCCAAACCGCCGCCTCATCCCGACTTGCCACCTGACACTGGATCACTACAGGCAGTGCAAGAGCCGAGAATAACCTGAAACCACAGTGAGCTTCATCAGGAAGGAGGGTGGAATCTGATCATGGAGCCACTTCCACACTTCTGTTCAGATGGAGAATGATTGACAGTTGCAGAGTCAGCAGGTTATATTTGTCCTGAATAAATCAACAGTGTTTTATTACAGACAAAAGAACAACATTTCAGTTTAATTTCCTTTCTTCATTTAACTTGCAGGTCACAACTCTGTTTGCAAGGTATTTCAGAATCCCTGACTCTGCTGATAATATTTAATATTCCATCTTCCTACCTTTTTATTAAAGCAGCACGTTCACTCTGGTTTAATGCTCGCCAACATATTTGTGAATGTGTTTTTTTTTTATTTGGGGTTTTTTAGCTTTATTTTGACTGGGCCGTGAAGTACGTTTTTATTCAATTCAATTCAATTTTATTTGAATAGTGCCAATTCATAACAGAAGTTATCTCAGGACACTGTTCAAATAGAGCAGGTCTAGACCAAACTCCTTATAATATTATTTACAGAGACCCAACAGTACCACCATGAGCAAGACCTTGGAGACAGTGGCAAGGAAAAACTTCCTTTTAAGAGACAGAAACTTCGGACAGACCCTGGCTCTAGGTGGGTGGTCATCTGCCTTGTTTTAGTCATGTGTTTAAGTTAATCAGGTGGGTAACATAACCAAACAACCAAGATTTATTTTGATGTTACCTATTTATTGTTGCCCTGTGCAGAATACTCAAAGCACTTTACAGCCACATTCACCCTTTCACAAGCCCATCGAACAGAAAGTAACTCATTCATTTACATTCATCCGCCGATGTGCAGCATCAGGAGCAGTTTGGGGTTCAGTATTTTGGTCAAGGACAGTTCAACATTGGACGCGAGGAGCCAGGGATTGAACCAACAACCTTCTGACCGGCTCTACCTCCGAGCCACAGCCGCCACAGTTGACAGGGAGAATGTGTCGATTCAACACATAAATGTTTATATTGTAAATATTGTCTGAGAGGTATCAAGGAACAATTTGAATGAATGGCTGAAGCTGTATATGAACTTTCGATCTATAGTCCCAGACGCCCAAATATCTGGTCTGACTCATCTGGAGAAACAGAAATATAGATTTGAGTATCATCTGCATATCGGCAGATCATAACATTTAATATATTTTTTATATAATTACTTTATACATTCAGCACCGAAGGATGACAAATCTTTGAAACACTTTGCTCCTCCCCCACTTTTATATTGTGCTTTAGCTAACCTTATTAGCAGTGCTAGCTCGCTGGTGGACAGCGAATGATGACTCCAAGTCATTGGTTATTACGAAGCTGTAAACAGTTTTATTATTGTGACATCAGACATTCATCAGAAACACACCTGCTGAACAAACACCTATCTAAAAGTCACTTAAGGTTTCGTGTTGTCGTCTATGTACAGGTGCTACGTCAAACCATGCAGAGCACGTGATTGGCTGCTAGCTATCAAGTGATCTGAGAGGTGCAGTGCAGAGAATCAAACCAAACTCAACAGAACAAAGTGAAAACAGAAAGTGGGTGTGTTTGTGGGAGGGGTCACATCTCAGTCTCAGCCAATAGGCTCTCACCTAGACCTGATGTCAGCAAGACCATCTGGGGGCCGGAGTCTGTGGGGTTAAAGAACGACACGTTTAGAGTCTTCACACCAGATTTAAAGGACGTCTTCACATCCTGGTGATCATTTTTCAAATTATTAATCAGTTGTTAGATTGATTTCCTTCCAGCCATCGGTTTCACTTAGTTAGTAAAAAAATCCACCAGCAGGGAGATTGGTGTTCAACTTTTAATGGTTTTAAATTTTAAGAGTTCAAACAGTCAAAGTAACTCCATAAAACAACAAGATCAGCTTTAGACAGAGCCAGGCTAGCTGTTCCCCCTGTTTCCAGTCTTTATGCTAAGCTAAGAAAACTGTCAGTCTCTGGAAATCAATATAAAAACTGATTGAAAAATGATCAAATATAGACATGATTTCTATTGACGACACATTTGAAGCATTACCTGTTTTCATTCAGTGTCACAGAGAAACCACAGAAGAAGAGCAGATCTTCAATAAGTATATTCGTCTGATTATTGATTATTGATTATCAGGGACGACAGAACAGAAAGTTCTTTATAAACTGGGATTAGATAAAAAACAGTTAAACCAGGATCACACTTAGACCTCTACACAGAATACAGAACCTGCTACTGTCACTGAGGACACCTAACACCACAGAACCAGTCTGACACTGGCCTAAATGGGACAGAACAGTCCGATTCTGGTCCAACTGGGACAGAACCAGTGTGATCAACTGGGAGAGAATCAGTCTGATGCTGGTCCAACTGGGACAGAACAATCTTACTGGTCCAACTGGGACAGAACAGTCCGATATTGGTCCAACTGGGACAGATCAGTCCGATACTGGTCCAACTGGGACAGAACAATCTAATGCTGGTCCAGCTGGGACAGAACAATCTGATTCTGGTCCAACTGGGACAGAACAGTCCGATACTGGTCCAACTGGGACAGAACCAGGATAACGTGAACGCAGCATTAGTTACTAGTAGGAATGTGATCTTTCACCAGTAAAACCAATATGATGAACTGGACCCGTGGAACCTGTATGATAACTGGTAAACACTAGTTCTGTACGGGTTTTGTGCAGTCTTTGTTGGACCAGTATGGAGAGTAAAGTGGGACAGAGAGCTCGGGGGGGGGGGTCAGCCCTTACTGCTGTGGGGGAGCCAGGTGGGGGGCTGGTACTTGTCTCTGATTGGCTGGTACTTGTCTCTGATTGGCAACAGGGCGCTGCTGGAGGCATGGCCGGGGTAGAGGGGCGGGGCCTCTTTGTCGTCGTCCTCCTCCCCTTCAGACAGCAGGTCGCAGATCTGCTGCTGCAACTCCGGACTGATGTCGTTCTCCGCCAGGACCAGAATCCGCAGACTGGTCGGGTAGTTTTCCACCATGTCCAAGAAGACCTGGACACCAAAAACTTTATTTATACAAACAGCTTGAACTAACTGTACTTTAATAAATATTAATTATTAAATGTGTTTGTTAATGTTTGTTCGTAAACAAAGAACCAGCTGAAACCAGTGGGGTATTGCACAAAAGTAGGATAAAGAAATCCAGGATAATTGAGCAAGCGCGGCTTGACTTAGCCTGCTCGGCGCATCCTGGCTTAATCGGTTGCACGTTTGCCGAGCCAGGATTAAAAGGTGCGGCTATGTTAAGCCAGGTGTAGATAGTCGGGATAAGTGCGTGTTCACGGCATACTGAAATAGACCTCGCGATCGCTCACAGAATCACCGATGGGAACATGGATAAGAGTCGCGCTTCATATTTCACGGCCGCTGAACAACAGCTCCTGATGGAGTTCTATGAAGAGGTGGAAGATATAAGAAACAAAGGCAATACCAATGCCATAATTAAAGAAAGAGAGAAAGCCTGGCAGACAATAGCGGACCGGCTTAATGCTTAAGTAGTCCAAAACTGTACAATTAATAAACAGTGCTTCACTGGAACTGTCATAATTAGGCTCCAATTAAAGGACTAAAGGAGTTACTTTAAGTCCACTAATCAACTGTTGTACACTTTGCTTTAAATGTGGCAAGTAGAGGTGCATGTTACTCAGGAAATGTAAAGTATGATTAAGTGCAAACAATTATCCACAATGTGTGTCATTTAATCTATTTTTATCTATTTTATCTTTCTATCCTTCATAAAGAACAAACTTATCTGGCCATAAAAGGACCTGGCAGCAAGTTAAAGTTAAATACAAGAACATTTTGCAGGCTGGAAAGTGACTTTAAAGTAGATAACAGTGAACAAATGAGGTGAATAGATTAGGTGTCTGCTGACATGTTGAATATCTGTATGATTGTAGCAGTTAAAAAAAGCCCATAGAACTGGCACAGGGGGCGGCCCACCAAGCCAGGATATGTGCTGCAAATGGTTCCTTTATTGAGGTTCTCTGCATCCCCAACAGAATAAAGGAAGCTCCCACTTGCAGAACATCTCACTGTAACACAGACCATCTGTGGTACATTGAGAGCATGGCTTCCTGCCGTCTGGTGCTGTATTTTTGGACCCAGCAGCCTACATAAATATCTTAGTCCATCACCTGAGAATCTGTATCTCTCAATGAGATAGTTCTCTCCAACGGCCAATGGGTCTGACCTGTCCCAGAAGACTCTTGCATGACTAAATGCTCGTCTGAGGATTAGGGCTTCCTCATCCAGTACATCCTCCAAAAAAGGGGAAGCCATTATGAAGAGGGAACAGGAGTGAATAATATATATATATATATATATATATATGGCATGCCGTTTAGGAAATGAAGCTTTGGACATATGGAATGACTCTTGGATATACTGATAAAAATGTGAGAATACTGAATGAAATTGAAAACCTAGTTGTATCCTTTTCATCAAAGTGATAGCCTTCTGAATTAGCTGGTTTTACAAAATGGCATCAGTTGAAATATTACAATACTTTCTTAAACTGGAAAACTTTTTTGCTTTTTCTGTCAGGATTTAGCCTGAGGCCTGTTGTAGTTGGCCTGCCACCATTAAAAAGGGAGTGAACTTCTTCGTCAGGAGAACGGTATTGGGCACGGGTACTATCGGGAGGATTTTGGCCCATACAAGCACTTGTCAATGAGTTAATAATGTCCTCATTGCTCAGTATTGCTGCCACAAGGTTCCTGACTGACTCATTCTCACTTCTACAAGATGGCAGCAGTGCCTTGATTGACCAGTCAAGTTTCATTCTATATATTCAAAGATTAATTTTATATATTCAAAGATTAATCTCTTAAACAGTATGCCATAATATATATACTATATTGCCCTTGTCACAGATTTCATTGAAAACACCTTTGCAACTTCATCAGCTGTGTTTTGTAATCTCAATTACTGCAATAAACACATATTTTTGCAATTTGACAAGCAGTCTTCATTAGCATAGCAATATAACACTTGTCCTGAGTAATAATACTACCACTTGAATCAATATAAAAAGACTGTTGCAATTACAAACAGCCAACAGATTTAAATGAAATAAGAAATTACAATATATATGTAATATTTTAATGCAGGATAATTAAAATGATGCAACATACTTAGAAAGACCATGGACATGCTGTAAAACACATTAATTCCTCACAGGATTGACGGTGGAAATACAGGTGAATCACTAGGATTAATCTTAGCCTGGCTGTTAGCCTGGTCTGGAGCATGCTAGCTGCAGAGAATAAATCACCATAGTAACTTGGCCGGGATAAGTTTAACCTGCTTTCATGCAACCGACTTGAGGCTAAATTAAGCCAGGATAACTAACATATCCCGGCTTAATCCCTTATCCTGCTTTTGTGCAATACCCCTCAGCTCCCTGACAGCAGTTATTGTCTCTGGGACCAGTTGAGCTGATGTTCAGACCAATGTCTCCTCCTGCTGGACAAACTGCTGAATGACGGAGAAACAGAAGAAGAGAACCTGTGCTGATTGGTTGGTCAGTCCGGTTCCTTCCAGGTCCAACACCTCCAAGGTTCTGCTGGACGCCACGGCAACCGCCAGCATCCCCGCGATCTGATCACCTGGAAACAGGACCACACCATCAGACCAGAACCAGAACATCACAACCAGGTAATAGCTTCAGTTTATACATCATCATATGGAAAAATCATTCTTATTGATCCACAAAGACTGAATGTTAATCAAATAAACTTAATTAGAGCAGAAACAATTAAATTAATTAAATCATTTTGATAATCACTTCACTGTACGTCAGCTGTTAATATTGTATTTATAATATATATATATAGTATATAATATATATGTACAGGTAATATTATAAATAATAAAAATAAAAAAATCATAATAATCATCATTTTCTTAAGAGGAAGAAACTGTATAAAGAAGATTAATTTAAGTTGTTCAGACTTTATTCACATGTGAATGAGACTTCAGTAACTGAATCTATTAGCTGAACAACAAATACTCGACCTACTGAAATAGTCTGAGTGAATAAAGTGTGTGAACGGACTGAATCCGGCTCCAATATGAGACATTAACAGAACCAGGAAGTGGAGCTGTTACCCAGCGGGTTGTAGTCCAGGTTCAGCACTCGGAGCTGCGAGCTGTGAGCCACAGCGATGGCGAGCCGAGCCCAGCCTTTGGAGCTGATTCCTGGGTTAGCACTCAGAGTGAGCTCCCTCAGACCTGCAGACAACAACACCACAGTCAGACGTCCTGCTCCAGGTGACCATTGATCAGTAATCAGTAATCAGTGATCAATGATCAGTGATCAGTTAAACGCTATGATTGGTTGTTGTTTCGGGTGTGAACAGAGGTCTGATCAATTCCATTGGAGCTTGTTGATACAATGTCCGACCACACACATTCATCCATATTGAAATATTGATAAACTGCTGATATAACGCTCCAATTAATTCAGAACGCTGCAGCACGAGTACTGACAGGAACTAGAAAAAGAGATCACATCTCTCCTGTACTAGCTTCTCTACACTGGCTCCCTGTAAAATGTAGAATAGAATTTGAAATCCTCCTCCTCACCTATAAAGCTCTTCATGGTCAGGCCCCTTCATATCTTAAAGAGCTCATAGTACCCTATTACCCCTCTAGAACACTACGTTCTCTGAATGCTGGGCTACTTGTGGTTCCTATAGTCTCTAAAAGTAGAACAGGAGCCAGAGCCTTCAGTTACCAAGCTCCTCTCCTGTGGAACCAGCTTCCAGTTGTGGTTCGGGAGGCAGACACCCTCTCCACATTCAAGAGTAGGCTTAAGACATTCCTCTTTGATAAAGCTTATAGTTAGGGCTGGATCAGGTGAGTCCTGAACCATCCCTTAGTTATGCTGCTATAGGCCTAGACTATCGGGGGATTTCCCATGGTGCACTGAACTACTCTCTTCCTCTCTCTTTCTGCACTCATTCATGTTCCATTAATGCATGTTACTAACTTCACTTCTTCCCCGGAGTTCTTGTGATTTCTCGTCTCGCAGGTTCTCATGGATCCTGGTGGAGCCTCCTGCCATGGTCCTGCTTGACTGCCATTGCCAATACTGTTGTTGCTGTGCACCTGTCTGTCTGTCTGTCTCTCTCTCTCTCTCTCTCTGCCTCTCTCTCTCTCTCTCTCTCTCTCTCTCTCTCTCTCTCTCTCTCTCACCCCAACTGGTCGAGACAGACGACCACCCACCTAGAGCCGGAGGATCTGTCCTAGGTTTCTGCCTTTTAACAGGCGGTTTTTCCTTGCCCTTGTCGCCAAGTGCTTGCTCATGGTGGTACTGTTGGGTCTCTGTAATTAATGTTATAAAGAGTTCGGTCTAGACCTGCTCTATTTGAAAAGTGTCCTGAGATAACTTCTGTTATGAATTGGCGCTATACAAATAAAATTGAATTGAATTGAATTGAATATTATTGATCTGAATGTGAAGAGTTCCCGAATGAATTCAGATTGTTCAGAGACTCTGAGTTTTACTGAGGAACTGCAGACGTTCCTTTTATTAAATCAATTAATGAGCTTCTGCCATTAGTTCTAAATCAAACCACAAAGTGAGTCAGACCTGAGACCGAGGTCTGACTCACCTGAGAGCTGAAACAGTCTCAGATGTTACACCCAAAATGGTTTGGACCTGGAAAGGAGCGACTGTTGGAGTCTATGATTGGTGAACAGTCCACATGTGGTAGTGTGTTGGCATGGTAGTTAGTGAGTGATCCACCGCGGTCACCAGGTGGATGCTAAGATGTTCCAGACAGTTGCTATGGTAATGTCAGATGGTTGCGACGGTAATGTCAGGTGGTTGCTATGGTGTGTATGGTGGTTGCTACGGTAATGTCAGGTGATTGCTACGGTAATGTCAGGTGGTTGCCAGTGTTGGGGGGGTAGTGCGAGTGCCGGCTGTTCCTGTGGTATTGTCAACCACACACACACACAGAAGGTCAGGTGTCGCCCCAGTGCCTTCTGGGAGTGTCCAGGTGTTTGTTACCTGACTTTGCTCCGTCGGGCGGCAGCATCCCGCAGATCAGACCCAGCGCCTCGTCTCCCAGCATGCAGTCTCCCAGATCCAGACTGACTAGTGCCGGGTGGGTCGACAGGGCCGAGTTCAAGGTCACCAGGCCGGCGTCCAACAGCGGGCTACCGTGGAGACTGCAGGGGGCAGGACCAGAGTCTTACAAACCAATCACATTGTGATGTTTTTTAACAGCCAATCAGACGAGAGACTTACAACAGGGTCTGCAGGGACCGGTTGGTCTTCAGGGCGTCGGCCAGGTGGCGGGTCCGACTGATGCTCGAGACCACACCCAGGTTGAGGTTGAGCTGAGCCAGCGAGTGCGACTCAGCGACGCTGCGGCAGACGCGGCCGAAGTCGCGGTCGGAGAGCTGGCAGCCGCGCACGGACAGCAGCCGCACACTGTCCTCCTTCAGACTCTCACAGATGTCCTGGACCTCGGCCGCCGACAGCAGCTCGCCTGTGATCTGAATGGAGGCCGGCAGCATCCTGGACGCCACTGGAAGCGCTGGAGACACCTGGAGACACCTGGAGACACCTGGAGACATAAAGATTCTACTGAAAGCAGGTACAAACCGAACTCTCTCATTGGTTGCTGCCACGTGATGTCACCATCAGTTGTTTTAACCATGACGTCACTTCCTGTCTAGTTCAACTGTAAACTACAGATCCCATGATGCATAGTTACAGTACAACAAATAAAACAATGCACCGTAACCGACTGTGAACGCTTCGTGTTTGTAGTGTTTGTTGCTTTATGGTCTGTTTTACTCTAAATGGGACCATCAGTTACTAAATGAACATCATGCTGTATGGAAGAAGACTGAAACTAGAGACTGAGACCAGAAACTCATCAGGAAACTGTTTACTGAGCTTATTGATCTCCATAAGACTCCATACTATCAGAGTGGAGCTGCCCCCTGCTGGCTGTTAGAGACACTGCAGGTTAAACATAGCGCATTGTTTGTTAGCACCTTGTTTGTTAGCACGTTGTTTGTTAGCATGTTGTTTGTTAGCACGTTGTTTGTTAGCACGTTGTTTGTTAGCATGTTGTTTGTTAGCACCTTGTTTGTTAGCACGTTGTTTGTTAGCATGTTGTTTGTTAGCACGTTGTTTGTTAGCATGTTGTTTGTTAGCATGTTGTTTGTTAGCACGTTGTTTGCTAGCGCCTTGTTTGTTAGCACGTTGTTTGTTAGCATGTTGTTTGTTAGCACGTTGTTTGTTAGCATGTTGTTTGTTAGCACATTGTTTGTTAGCATGTTGTTTGTTAGCACGTTGTTTGTTAGCATGTTGTTTGTTAGTGCCTTGTTTGTTAGTCCTTGTTTGTTGATGTTGTTTGTTATTGTTTGTTAGTGTTTTTGTTACGTTGTTTGTTAGCATGTTGTTTGTTAGCACGTTGTTTGTTAGCATGTTGTTTGTTAGCACGTTGTTTGTTAGCATGTTGTTTGTTAGCACGTTGTTTGTTAGCATGTTGTTTGTTAGCACATTGTTTGTTAGTGTCTTGTTTGTTAGCATGTTGTTTGTTAGCACGTTTGTTAGCACGTTGTTTGTTAGCATGTTGTTTGTTAGCATGTTGTTTGTTAGCATGTTGTTTGTTAGCGTGTTATGTTTGTTGTGTTTAATGTTTATACTGATGGCTCACATGCATCATTTATCTGTTGTTGTTGTTGTTGTTGTTGTTGTTGTTTCTGTCTCGCTCTGCGTTTGATAGAGAAACAGAAATAAACGTTTAATAAACATCAGCGAGCTTCTGCACATGCTCAGTACAACCCGACGTGTTACATCATCTGTAAACAGGAAGCAGGTCTAAAGAGTCTCATCAGGACCAAACCTGATCCAGAAACACCTGACAGAGAGATCAATCACTGATTAATAATGAATAATCATTGATTAATAATGAATGATAATAGATTAATAATGAATGATAATAATAGATTAATAATGAATAATCACTGATTAATAATGAATAATCATTGATTAATAATGAATGATAATAGATTAATAATGAATAATCACTGATTAAGAATGAATGATCATAGATTAATAATTAATAATCACTGATTAATAATGAATAATCATTGATTAATAATGAATGATAATAGATTAATAATGAATAATCACTGATTAATAATGAATAATCATTGATTAATAATGAATAATCATTGATTAATAATGAATGATAATAGATTAATAATGAATAATCACTGATTAATAATGAATAATCATTGATTAATAATGAATGATAATAGATTAATAATGAATAATCACTGATTAATAATGAATAATCATTGATTAATAATGAATGATAATAGATTAATAATGAATAATCACTGATTAAGAATGAATGATCATAGATTAATAATTAATCATCACTGATTAATAATGAATGATCATAGATTAATAATTAATCATCACTGATTAATAATGAATGATCATAGATTAATAATTAATCATCCTTGATTAATAATGAATAATCATTGATTAATAATGAATAATCATTCATAAATAATTAATAATCATAGATTAATAATTAATAATCACTGATTCATAATTATTAATCACTGATTAATAATGGTCATAGATTAATAATTAATAATCATTGATTCATAATGATCATATATTAATAATTGATAATCACTGATTCGTAATGAATAATCACTGATTAATAATTAATTCAGTCCTGTAAAGCTGCTGTTGTCCAGTGAAATAATCTGATCGTTGTATGATCAGAAAGTTAAAGTCAATAATGATCAATAATGAAACAACTAATAACTAATCAATAACTTCATCCCCCAGAGTCTGAAAATGAAAATGACTATAATATAAATATAGACATAATATATTTATATATAATAATAATGAAGATCAATCGTATATAAAGATCAATAGAAAGCTGTATCGATAAGTGATCGGAGAGTATTGATCACTCATTGGGGGGTTCAGCTCTAAAGAGACAACAAACGTAACTAATCACTATCAGCTGATCATTCTAATCAACTGATCAATCATGGGGCTCTGATTGGCGCAGCAATAAAGAGATCAATGAACCTGATAGATGATCGATCAGCTCACGCGCGGACGATCGGGACTCTCACACGCTGATGTCATCATCCGCCGCTCCGGTGCCTCTGATCCCGCAGCAGGCCACGCGCCGGTTCTGACCCACCGTGGCGGACATCAGTCGATCGATCCCGGTATCGATTGATCGGGTATTGATCTGCGGCAGAGAGGAGGGTTGGCGGAGCAGAGCGCGGCGGGGGTTCGGTGTCCTGGAGCCGGGCAGCGGTCGGTGTGTCGGTCGGTGGAGCTCCGTGAGTCCCGGTGTGTTTCTGCAGGTGACCGTTACCATGAGAACCAGAGAGAGGACCGACAGCAGGAGGTCTCACTCTGATCCGGTTCCTGGAGCTAGTGAACAACAACAGCAACAACAACAACAACAACAACAACAACACTCCTATACAGTGACACGTTTTCAGTTTATCATCATCTGATTTATATTAAATATAATTATTGTATTTTAACATGTTTATTACGTTCAACTGAAATTTAAAAGAATAAAGTTTTATTATATGTATTTATAATATTATTTTAAATAAATATAATTTGTACTATTAAGTGATATATTATTTATTTATCATATTTATAATATGATTTATAATATTTATTTATAATAATATTATACATAATATATCACTTTATATTATAAATAATATTAGTTATTTATAGTATTTATTTATAATATTATTAAGAATGTTTATTTAGAATATTTATTTATACTATTTATTTAGAATATTATTAAAAATATTTATTTAGAATATTTATTTAGAATATTATTAAGAATGTTTATTTAGAATATTTATTTAGAATATTTATTCCGCAGCTCAATAGAAAATGTTTTAAATGTGTCACAAATGATAAAAACAACAAATAAACAATAAACATTGGATTTTAAACAACATTCAGTTAATTTATTCTGATAAAACAATGAATTTCCTTTATTGATTGATTGATTGATCGGAGTGACTCCTCACCTCCTAGAGACGATCTTTACAGTTGTTACGTCACACCCCACTGATCCTCATTCTGGTCTCGTGCTCTGTGTCGTCACCGGATTCTTTTTATTTAAACATCATCAATGACACATTGTTGTTATTATTGATCACTGATCGGGAGCTTCTGTTCATTGATTGATCAGCTCGTGACCGTCCTGATAACGCCAACAAATGACCTCATGCAACTTCCGGCCATGATTTTCAAAATAAGAGCACACGCTTAACGTTCCCTTAATTGAGCTGAAACATTAAAAATATTTAAAATACTCAAATAAAATGATAATTATAAATATTTAAAGAATTTTAATCTGGCCGCTTTTTATTTTTATATTATTTTGTTGTTCAGTTATTTATTTGATCATTACTCTGCTCATTAAACTACGCAGGCCTCTGTCTGGTTTTAAAACCCATCTCTTCTCTGTGGCCTTTGACACCTAGTAAGATATCAACTGTATTTACTTGATTTAATTTCTTATTTTGATTGCTTTTTATTGCGTGGCTATTATTTTTATTATTATGTTTTATGTCTTTTCATTTCATTGCTGTATTTTATATGTAATTTTGGCCTCATGTGAGCTGTTATGTCTTTAATTTATGATGTCTTATTTACTCTCCTGTACAGCACTTGGTCATCTTTGGTTGTTTTAGAGTGCTTAACAAAGTTGGATTGGATTGGATTATATTCTTTATAATGTTAATATAAAGACATATTTGATTGATCCTCCTGATGGCTGTGTTTATTGACTATTCTCCTCATATAAAAACTAATTCATTCAATCTTATAAATTAATTTTGTACATTTAAAGGGAACAAATAATTTCATCTGACGATCTGATCAAAATGGATCAATTAAATGAATGAATATATTAATGTTAATCAAAATATTAGAAGACATTTTCTGACATAATATTTATATTCTTTATATTGAAACGTTTCATCTTGTCGCGTGTTGTTTATTATTTATACTGTGATGTCACTTATTTATTATTTGTTAACATACAATTTTTTTGTTTTTTTAAGAGCATTTATTCCAGATATGATGGTAATGTAACAGAGTACAGGTATTTGTGTGTGTGTGTGTGTGTGTGTGTGACTATTATTATTATTATTATATTTATTATTATATTTATATTTATTATGATCGTTATATTTATTATTATCATTATTATATTTATTATCATAATTATATTTGTTATTAGCATCATTGTATTTATTATTATTATAATTATATTTATTATTATTATTATATTTATTATCATCATTATATTTATTATTAGCATCAATATATTTATTATTACTATCATTATATTTATTATTATTATTATTATTATTATTGTATTTTTATTGTTATTATTAATATATTTATTAATGTATTTATTATTATTATATTTATTATTATTACATTTATTATCATTATATTTATTATTTTATCATTATATTTATCATTATTATTATCATTATATTTATTATTATTATTATATTTATTATTATTATTATATTTATTATTGTTATTATTAATATATTTATGAATGCATTTATTATTATCATTATATTTATTATTATTATTATATTTATTATTATTATTATCATCATTTTATTTATTATTATCATATTTATTATTATTATTATATTTATTATTATTATAATAATTATAATCATTATATTTATTATAATATAGTCTACTTCCGGAGCTCCGGATGCCAACCACAGTCAAACAGGAAGAAGAAGAAGAATTATTATTATTTTTTTTTTTTTTTTCAGAAACTTTATTAAGCCAACATGGTGCAATACAAATCAATACATCAACAAAACGCCGCCGAGGGTTACAACAAAACAGAGGCAAGCTTTCATACAAAAACATTGTAAAGTGTACATAAATTCAAAGTTTTAATAGTTTTCATGTTGATGGATTTTTTTATAGATTTAATATATTGTTTGGCTTCATTTTCAAAGATAAGAAAGAGAGGTTTTTGATTAGTGTAACAGCATTTATGAATATGCCATTTGGCTAACTGTATAATAAGATTGAGGATATAGTATTGTTTTTCTTTTGCAGAAAGATTGTTAGTGAAGCCAAACAATATATGTTCAAAGCACAGGGAAAAATGAGGTTCAATCGAAAAAAGAAATCAGGTTGCAAATATCTTCCCATAATTTGGTTGAGAAAGGGCAAGACCAAAATAAATGAAAAACATCTTCAGGGTGTCCTACACAGAAAGAGCAGTTTAAATCTATATCTTTTTTAAATTGTTGTAAAAAAAACTTTAGATGGGTAAATTCTGTGAATTATTTTAAAAGATACTTCTTTTACCTTATTATTAATTATATATCTAGCAGGTAGAGATCTTTTTCCAGTTAAGGTTATTAATAAAGTTGTTCCAATAAGTTATTACATATGGAGTTGATACGACTTCTTTCTGAAATAAAGAGCGTATATTACGGTTACTATTGCGTGTTGAGGAGAAACTAATTTGGCCGATTTCAAGTTTGGTTGGATCAAAGGGCAATAATGATGGATTTTGTCCTAATGTACTTTTAAATAACATAGTTACTCCAGGAGGAATCGCATTTATAACAATATTAAATTCGCTAATAGGAATAGGGATTCTACATTTTAGGATAAATTCCTGATATGTAAGTAATGATCTGTTTGAGTTAAATAACTGAAGAACTAAGAGTATATTGTGAATAAACCAATAGGGGTAAAATAAGGATTTGTTTCTATATATAATGTCTTTATTGTTCCATATGTAGTATCTATGCGGGGAAAAATTGTGTTTATAGATTAATGACCAGGAAAGAAGCATCTGTTTGTGAAAGTTGGATAGTTTCAAGGGGATTTTTTCAATATTATAATTACAAAATAAAAGGAAATTTAGGCCTCCTAATTTAGAGAAAATAAAGTTTGGTATGAAGTTCCAAATTGAAGAGCGGTTCTTGATGAATTGTTTTAGCCAATTAATTTTGAATGTATTATTCAAAGTGTGAAAGTCTAAAAAGTTAAGACCACCCTTATCATATGAATTCATTATTACTGATTTTTTAATGTAATGGTTTTTGTTTCGCCATACAAAGTTAAATAGCATCTTATCAATGTTTTTTGAGACCTTTTTAATTCAATTCAATTCAATTTTATTTGTATAGCGCCAATTCATAACAGAAGTTATCTCAGGACACTTTTCAAATAGAGCAGGTCTAGACCGAACTCTTTAACATTAATTACAGAGACCCAACAGTACCACCATGAGCAAGCACTTGGCGACAAGGGCAAGGAAAAACTGCCTGTTAAAAGGCAGAAACCTAGGACAGATCCTCCGGCTCTAGGTGGGTGGTCGTCTGTCTCGACCAGTTGGGGTGAGAGAGAGAGAGAGAGAGAGAGAGAGAGAGAGAGAGAGAGAGAGAGAGAGAGAGAGAGCGACAGACAGACAGACAGGTGCACAGCAACAACAGTATTGGCAATGGCAGTCAAGCAGGACCATGGCAGGAGGCTCCACCAGGATCCATGAGAACCTGCGAGACGAGAAAGCACAAGAACTCCGGGGAAGAAGTGGAGTTAGTAACATGCATTAAAGGGACATGAATGAGTGCAGAAAGAGAGAGGAAGAGAGTAGCTCAGTGCACCATGGGAAATCCCCCGATAGTCTAGGCCTATAGCAGCATAACTAAGGGATGGTTCAGGACTCACCTGATCCAGCCCTTTTTATTAACATCAAGAGATAAACAGCATATTTACCCTTCCTCTTCAGCACTGTAGCCAGGCTGACAGAGAGTCACAGCTCTATTGAGCCACATATCCCCATAACCTTAAGTAGCAATGACTTCATGAGCTTCTTCTATAATAAAATTATTACTATTAGAGAGAAAATTAATCACCAACTGCCATCAACAGTTATCAGTGGCTCTCCAAGTTCAGGGACTTCTGTCAATGTAAACTTAGATATATATTTAGACTGTTTTTCTGCTATCGATCTTCATCAGTTAACTTCAATCATTTCTTCATCGAAGCCATCAACCTGTCTATTAGACCCGATCCCAACTAGGCTGCTTAAAGAAGTTGTTCCCTTAATTGGCACTTCTTTACTGGATATGATTAATC